ATAGTTCTACAATGTAGTACTGCTCGTACGGTGACCCCGCTGGTCTTGTCGAGTGAGTGTTTCTGTTGCAGCTCTACAACATCTTCTGTGTTTGTGACTGTCTGTTGCTGACTTTGCCTTTGCTGCAGGGAATGTGTCATCCCCGACGTGTCTAGGACCTTTCACTTTGGCTCTACCGGTCTCAATATGAACCCGTACTTTCAGGCAAGTACTTTGTGGTGTGTAGCTACGTGTTGGAATGGTCTGGCTGCTACATGTAGAAATCCTACTGAAATGGCGAGCTTTCTCTTCTGCCAGAGCTGCCCCTGCTTGCTCTGTAGCTTTAGGTGTAGACGTGAGCACGATTCTTCTGTTTGTATTGCTCTTGATGTAGTTATGCTCAATCAGCTCCTGAGTACATCAGCCCCTTACTACATCAGCCCCTCAGTACATCAGCCCCTCAGTACATCAGCCCCTCAGTACATCAGCCCCTCAGTACATCAGCCCCTCAGTACATCAGCCCCTCAGTACATCAGCCCCTCAGTACATCAGCCCCTGAGTACATCAGCCCCTGAGTACATCAGCCCCTGAGTACATCAGCCCCTGGGTACATCAGCCCCTGGGTACATCAGCCCCTGAGTACATCAGCCCCTGGGTACATCAGCCCCTGAGTACATCAGCCCCTGGGTACATCAGCCCCTGAGTACATCAGCCCCTGAGTACATCAGCCCCTGAGTACATCAGCCCCTGAGTACATCAGCCCCTGGGTACATCAGCCCCTGAGTACATCAGCCCCTGGGTACATCAGCCCCTGAGTACATCAGCCCCTGAGTACATCAGCCCCTGAGTACATCAGCCCCTGGGTACATCAGCCCCTGGGTACATCAGCCCCTGAGTACATCAGCCCCTGGGTACATCAGCCCCTGAGTACATCAGCCCCTGAGTACATCAGCCCCTGAGTACATCAGCCCCTGGGTACATCAGCCCCTGGGTACATCAGCCCCTGAGTACATCAGCCCCTGGGTACATCAGCCCCTGGGTACATCAGCCCCTGAGAGTACATCAGCACCTGGGTACTCTACTACCGTAGAATCCCGCGGATAAGCCCACCCGCGTATAAGCCCATGCCCGCGCATAAGCCCAGGGTTTGTTCGAACATCACTAGGCTTCATCGTACAAGCCCATGGGCCTAGGTCATACCGAGAGTCCACAAATTATGGACTCTTGGCCATACCATGTATGTAGTACATGCACATTATAGTTTTTTTTCGTACATTTCAGCACAATCATCGGTTGTTTTTGTTTGCACAGTGGTTTTCAGCAATGTACTTCTCACTTCCTTGATACTTTTCAATAGCACAACTTGGTGTCGGCGTATAAGCCCATGCCCGCGTATAAGCCCATGTTCTCGTATAAGCCCACCGAAATGTCCTTGTGAAACAGATAAGCCCATGGGCTTATCCGCGGGATTCTACGGTAGTACATCAGCCCCTGGGTACCTCAGGCCCTGATCATAAGCTGCCAGCTCACTGCAGTGTGGTTATTCGTTGACGTGCTGCTTGTGTTTGAATTCTCATTCTACTTCTCCAGGAGACTTACTTTGCCAAACACAAAGTCAATACTATTGCACATGCTCGGCTAACTCAAGTGGAAAGGTATGTCAACAGTTGGTTCCGGGTGTGGTTGTGTGTGTGTGTGTGTTTGTGTACACACCTGTGCACACGTAAACTGCGTTGTGCTTTGGATGCTGGTGTTGGAGAGAAGCAGTAGGCTGGTCAGCATTCATGGCATGCACGTGCAGTAGGCTGGTCAGCATTCATGGCATGCACGTGCAGTAGGCTGGTCAGCATTCATGGCATGCACGTGCAGTAGGCTGGTCAGCATTCATGGCATGCACGTGCAGTAGGCTGGTCAGCATTCATGGCATGCACGTGCAGTAGGCTGGTCAGCATTCATGGCATGCACGTGCAGTAGGCTGGTCAGCATTCATGGCATGCACGTGCAGTAGGCTGGTCAGCATTCATGGCATGCACGTGCAGTAGGCTGGTCAGCATTCATGGCATGCACGTGCAGTAGGCTGGTCAGCATTCATGGCATGCACGTGCAGTAGGCTGGTCAGCATTCATGGCATGCACGTGCAGTAGGCTGGTCAGCATTCATGGCATGCACGTGCAGTAGGCTGGTCAGCATTCATGGCATGCACGTGCAGTAGGCTGGTCAGCATTCATGGCATGCACGTGCAGTAGGCTGGTCAGCATTCATGGCATGCACGTGCAGTAGGCTGGTCAGCATTCATGGCATGCACGTGCAGTAGGCTGGTCAGCATTCATGGCATGCACGTGCAGTAGGCTGGTCAGCATTCATGGCATGCACGTGCAGTAGGCTGGTCAGCATTCATGGCATGCACGTGCAGTAGGCTGGTCAGCATTCATGGCATGCACGTGCAGTAGGCTGGTCAGCATTCATGGCATGCACGTGCAGTAGGCTGGTCAGCATTCATGGCATGCACGTGCAGTAGGCTGGTCAGCATTCATGGCATGCACGTGCAGTAGGCTGGTCAGCATTCATGGCATGCACGTGCAGTAGGCTGGTCAGCATTCATGGCATGCACGTGCAGTAGGCTGGTCAGCATTCATGGCATGCACGTGCGCTCCACATGACTACAGTGAAACCTGGGGAAGAAGAACTCTGGCAAACTTTCGCTTTAGAAGAAATATCACTCCAAGCTCTATTGGACAGATCACTGTGTACTAACTATTCACTGGGTATAATGTATGGATAAGAAGAAGAACTCTCGCTATTGCCAACAAATACCATCGGTCCCTTGGTGTTCAACCTAAAGAGGTTTGATGTTGGAATTGATTTTCTTGTTCTTGCGTTGCAATCCTTGTATGTGCATGCATGTATCTGCTGCAGGCTAAGTCGTAATGGTTATGAGGAACTACTCCAGCTGCTCGTCAAGTACGTCCTATTTATGTTTACTCCCATATGCTACCGCAAGTCAGTTGACAACCCCTCCCCATACACACATATTGCACATACTGCCAGTGGCCATACCAGTTAGTACATGCTACACAATACTTGTACGAGTACACTGTGTTTGGAAACCATACAGTGGTGTGTATGTTGTTTGTAGAATAAACCCTTGCTTCGAAGCGCAAAATCATGTACAGTCAACTTCGCTTATAACGACACTCGGCGGGGCATCAGAAAAGTGTCCTTTTTCGCGAAGTGTCGTTATACCCGAAGTCTCATTATATGTATTACAGTTAGATGGGACTTTGCTCTGGGCATGGAAATAATTCTGTCGTTATTCGCAAATTGTCGTTATATCCGCAGTCGTTATAAGCGAAGTTGACTGTACATGAGTTTTCAGAATTTGTTTAGCAGAGAGACATGTGCATGATATTGACAGTATACTAGTATATGTTGCACCCTGGCCCAAGGTGTGACTTGCTGGTATGTATGTGATTGCTGGATTGCTGTATGTATTGTGTGTATACTTGTTTATGAGCTCGTATCATGTGCATCATGTGTAGTGTTCTATGTTTTTTCACTGTGTGTGTACGTGTGTAGAGCTGGCTCTCTGCTGGATCACAGCAAGAGTCCTTGCGACCAAGACTTTGTTCCGGATATCAAGGTGAGCTGTGCATGTGTATCCCACATGGATAGCTTCTTCTAAACCCTTGTTTGTGTAGCGCTGGTACATTTATTAGTCTAAAGCACTGTAGGAAATACTCGAGAAAGATGGGGAAAATGGCCGCAGGACGGACTGGGCACTGAAGCAATGGCAGCTGATAGCATTGAACATCACTCTAAACTACACTAAGCAGGACACACAACAAGTAGCAATAAAGCATGTTTGCTGCATCACAGCAGCGGGACTTGGCCTCCTCTTGAGGCCGTTGAGAACCGCAAAGAGACGGGCCGACTGCATACAGGTAACGAGGGCCTGCTTGCACTGCAAGTGATACTTCATGGCTGACAAATACACATGCACCGTCGACACGCACCTTGAACGGTACAGCTCAGTGGCAGACAATACTATAACCTCGTTAGAGGGTGCAAGGGGTTGATGGTGGATGTTGCGCAATGATTATAGAAAGCATCAATGCCTGTCGAGAATGTTTTCCTTGAGTGTTTCGACACCGAGCCCGCTATGAGGGCATCAGCCTTGAGTCCTAGAGCATCAATCGGGCAAAGGCACCGCACTGGTGAGACCGCCACCGTTGGCACCAATTGCCGGAAGCTGCTCAGCTGCAAACTAGAAAGAGCATTGGCAATGCCATTATCAGTAACAGCAATATGGTGTATGCACAATTTGAAACTGTGCCTACATGTAGCGGCAACAGCCAGCATGAACCGAATCAATGCCATGGCATGCTTGTTCCTACATGGCCAATTCTTCCTAGCATTTACCACGGACTCATTATCGCAATGAAACAACAGCTTCTCCCCTGCCAAGCATGAACCACGAATACAGCAAGCTACAGCAATGGTCCACCTTTTTCTCTAACCACAGTGACACTTTGCTGAGGAGATTGAAAACTCCTCCGTCCACCTCCCAAAATATCAGTCACCCTGGAAGTACCCCCGGCCATCGCTGGGGGCATCCGTAAACAGCTGGAGGTCGGGAGAACGAGACCAGGCCTGGTCGTGGAGGAATGACTTTCCACTTCAATCAGCCGCAAAAAGGATGCCACTAGGCGATGTCGAGACAGGCTTCCTTGTCTATCGGAATCAGCGCGGACGTGGGCGAAACCGTTGTGCTGAGGTCGAGAAAATGCCAGATGAACATGTGGCCCAGAGGGTCCACCTTGGTAGCGAAGTATAGCGTACCAATGAGGGAAATGGAGCTTTCTTGGGACTAGCATGAGCTGTAATTCAAGCGACTATTTTACTACTACCGGTAGTGCTTTAAAGCTAACTGGCTTTCCCCTGGTTTTGTGCTGCTTTCCCCTGGTTTTGTGCTGCTTTCCCCTGGTTTTGTGCTGCTTTCCCCTGGTTTTGTGCTGCTTTCCCCTGGTTTTTTGCTGTTTGCCACGGAATCGATGCAGGACAAGATCAACATAATGTTGATTCAGATGAAGTCTGAGAATGATTTTGAAACTTGGCTTCAGGTGGCAAAGGTAAGTGTTCCTCTCAAGATTTATCTGTATAGCATGTTTCTGTTGGGAACATTTTAACATGGTCTCAGTTCTACGCGTATTTGTAACTGTGTATGCTGGACCTCTTCTTGTATATCTGTACCCAAACATGTCAATTTTGAAATAATTGGAATTTTTTATTCTCTGTTGTGCAGTGCTTTAAAATCTGGGACCTTGATGCTCGGGGCTTCCACAAGGTGAGTTGCAACATACCGTAGTGACGAACATAAAAGCACATGTGCCTATACCCGGGCATAAGCGCACCCTCACAAATAAGCGCATGGGCTTATAAGTGAACCTGAATGTAGTCCATCCCACGACACACAGACACCACAAAACACCATGTTCACATAGTTCAATGTACATTGCGGTATTGCACTATATGCATAATTATGCAAGGTACCGGTACACTAGCAACTCAAGCGCATGCGCCTACTTGTATGTGTGAGGCAAAAGGATCCGCAAAAAGTAGCAAAAAACGCAAAAACTCACTCATAAGTGCATGTGCCTTTATGTGCGTCACTACGGTACGTGTATGCCGTTGATTTGCCAGTTAGAGTATTCCTTCCTATCTGGGTTGCGTATACGTATAGGCCTCTGTGCTGCTGGTCTCCAACCAACGATCCCAGGACTGCCTCTATTCTCTCTATACTCAGTAATCAGTATCATGCTCTCTTGTTCTTCAATGGTATGTAGGGTTTGTGGCGCCTATGGATGAAGTCTAGTCAGCTGATTGTAATCGGTCTACCATACTCGCCATACTCAAGGTGAGCAAGAATTTGACTATACTTACTTACACACTGGTATCAACAGTACTGTTGAATTTGACTTTACTTACTTACACACTAGTATCAACAGTACTACTGTTGTGGACATGGGAATCCAGTCGCACTTCTAGCGGCCCCAGGGCGCTGGCCATGCAGCCGTGGCCAAGCAGTACACACATGCATGTGTATGCGCTGCAGCGCGCTGGTCGCATTATGTGCACTGCATGCAACGACGTTCTGTACGCGCTGAGGGCGCCGGCCCCGGTCAATCGACTGGATTTCCATGTCCCCGACAGTACATAACCCCCCAGAGTGTGCAATGCCTGATCCAGCTCTGCGTAGGGTCTTGGTCGAGCGTAGTCGGATCTTCTGATGCCATGCGTACACTTCACACCAGCGCAAGGCCGGTCTCGAGGCAGGGCACTGTTTTTGATTCGAGAGTACCTGCGACTCCCCGGGTTCCCCTCAGATGTGTACGGTATTCTGACGCAAAGATCCGATTACGCTCGACCAAGATCCTATGCAGAGCTGGATCAGGCGTTGCACACTCTTGCTAGTATTAGTCTACTGATTGTGCATGTGTTCGTGTGTGTGCGTGCGGGTGTACGTGCATGCGTGTGTTATGCACACATGTTACAATTATGACTTGTGTTTTGTTGGATGGGTGCGTGCATGGGTGGATGCGTCCGTCCATGCATGCGTCCGCGTGTGCATCTGTGTGTCTTTGTCTGTGTGGGTCGACACTTACACACAGGGGCCCACATCTACTGGGGAGTTGAGAGCCGGATGCCGGAATACCCCGGAACATATAATTGGGGTGTTGTTGCTTTGTACACTTGCACATGCGGGTCACAGATTCATCACACATACGTACGTAAAGACATGCATATGATATCTCTCTGCTCTTTGGCCTGCAATGTTCCTTGCGGTAGGTTTCTTCCAACCTTTACTCCATCTCCAATCTATATGGCCAAGCCAACAACCGCTGCACCGGTAGCTAGCACCAAGCCAGGGTGAGACTTCTCACTTGGCCAAAAGTAAGCTATTAACGGACAACCGTAACTGGTTCGGGATTGAATCCAGCTGAGGTCTTTCACACATGCTGACTGTCAACTATAAGAAGACGGAATCATCACAACTTTGGTAAGGAATAAACTGCTTGTGAGATTAGTGAACTGGGCCGGTGTCACTGAAGAACTACTGGCAGGATTTACAAATACCAGTACTCGTAGCAGCAACAAAAATAACGAGCTCTCTCATCTGCATTATCATGGATGCCTGCTCCATTGACAGCAGCAGCAGCAGCAACAGCATTAGCATCAGCATTTTATCTACTATCGCCAAACTTTAGCTGTGCACGTATAGCGTCGTAAATTATGCTTGGTGGCTCTTGCCATCATTATCATCATCATCATCATCATGAGCTGAACACATGAACTAACATTAACTTAGCATTTAGCGGCAGATGGAATTCCGTACCGGCTTCTGAAAGGTTCTAGATGTTGAGCTGTACTGTTTTCTCAAAGGAATTTGATAGGGGACTTCAGAGGGAGTAATAATGCTTATGGAACGATAAGAATGAATAACCACGTTAAAAAAAATTGAAATTGAAAATTTGAAAATGTGCTGATCATATTTTGCCATTTCAATCAGATCAGGCGCTATTAGTTTATCATTGCTGCCAGCAATATGTTGCCATGCTGTCATCGCAACCGACACCGCCACCGACACCGCCATTGTTTTCAGATCTAAGAGGCTGTTATGCCATGCTCAGCGAGGACTTTCTGACCAATTGGATGTGCAAGTCTAGTAGGCAGGTCTGAGTTGTGTTTGACGAGAGATTCCTGGCTATAGTGCTCAATGAGCTGCTGCAAGGAGCGGAAGATGAACGGTGCTGAAAATCCAAAGCCACCATTCTCGTCGCGGAAGATTCGAATGTGCTTCATGGTGTTAAACCTTCCAGTGCAGCACAGAGTACAAGAAAACACACGCGTGAACACACGCGTGAACACACACACACACACACACCTCAATATGCTTGTACTAATACACATGCACCACCATTCACACATGACACATACATGCAGTCCATACCTGAAGATGTTACTCGAATCTTCAGCAAGTTCAGGTATGAGACTGTACATGTATGTGTCAATGGTGGTGCATACTTCAGCTTCAGCAGTGACAATGGGGCGTGTATACAGTTGACAGTGTCCTGTACTGTCAGACATTTCTCACAAGACAAAGATGAGCAACCATGAACATCTCTTTTTTTTCCTTAGAATATTTCTGCAGCCATAGCTGAAGTTTGTTTTCGAGAACACGCCGTTTGAAGCCGAGTTCTTACTGGATGTCGATGGTGTGGGTGTGCTTCTCGCCCGGAGGACAGTTTGGCTTTGCACGAACAAGGAATGTTCCATTGGTCCGGCCTGCCAGCAGCATCCGTGAGTTGTCCCTGGGACACGTGCAAAATATACGACGAACAGAAATAATCGTTTTAAAAACATTAACACATTCACATCCATGTGCAGAGACGCCGAAGCACACAAACTCATGAATACAGTAATACCTGTCAAGGCGACCACTCTGATAAGGCAACCACCTGTCCAAGAGGACTGCTACAACCAGGATCAAGGCATGTCATGACCCTGGATAAGGAGACAACCTGTATCCGGTGACTGCATTGTAAGGTCCCTTGAGCGGTTGGCTTAGACAGGTTTTCACTGTATACTGCAAACAGATAGCCCAACACACACACACAAGGCATACCTATGCACACATGTGAAGAAAGGTGTGCATCAATGCCGGAAGGCATTGGAATTAAACAGGACGAGGTGGCCAGTTCCCACGGCCCATTCTCAATGCTATCACGTGTACTACAAGTTGTTCCACACTCGAATAGAAGTTCCACATTGGCATCTGTACTAATCTCTCCCATACGTACGGCTAGTGTCAGTTGTCTTGTGTACAAGTGAGACGACTTACCGAGTTATGGGGCCAGCATACCAGTTGGTCATGTCGAATGGAGCATTAGTTGGCTGTAAGGCACAGTGTCAACAGAAGTACTAATCAACCTCAACGCAACTACTGGAAGTAAACACCAAATTCCTGCACTGACTACGACACAGCCTCTGCAGCAACAGCAGCAGCATGCTAGTGGATACACTGTGAAAAGAATGTGCCGGTCCACTGGCACATGCAGAAAAGCAGCCTTTGCCTATTCGGCCACGCCAATTTAATTCTATGTTTCGTGTCGGATATGTTCTGGAAAAGGCACGCGGACGGGTGAAAAAAACCCGAAGAAAAGAAAACTTCATTCTATGTGCACTGAGCCATGTTGCACACAGAATAGCATTACAGTCAGACCTCGCTTAACCGCACACATCCGTTTTCCACAAAAATATCCGGATAGGCGAGGGAACCGGAAAATCGAACACACATACTGTATGTATGCATGCCATATGCTGTAAATCAGTAACAAACGATTTTCTTCCGGATGGCGAGGGATCCGGATAAAAGAGGACCGGATAAGCGAGGTCTGGCTGTACTAAACTGTCACTTATATCCAAAACGATAACAAGTCACCACAGGACAGCTGGCAGACTGGGCTGGAGCGATACAGTAACAGATTTCATGGATGGCTCCTTCTGCACTTTGACATAAGTCAAGTGGAATTCCGCTCCATCACGATCTTGGAAAATCTCGGAGTCCTTGACACTTGGAATCTCTGCTCGCTTCGTACGCAGGCCCTACCGTACGGCTTGGAAAAATAGAAATTTTCATCGCTCGCACCTTCTACATACCATCGCACGGAATGCAAGATTATGAAGAAGCTGATATCCTCTGATCAGCCATACTGGCTAGAGAATGTTCGCCAGAACAGCCATCGTTCGACTTGTCTGGGTGCTTTTTTTTTCTTGTCAACGATTCGAAAAGGCACGCGCACAGTGACGCGAAACATAGAAATAACTTGATGTGGCCTTAGCTTGGTTGGTTGAACAACGATGGGATGGTAGTGAGGGATGCATATATACAGGTGATTGGATCATGCAGCGAGTGGAACACAACCAGAACACACACCAACAGCAGCCATTATTCCGGCAAGTTCTAGCAGCTATGGCTCCCTTGCCTGATGATTCTTGGCAATGATCTCCTTGATTTGACTGGAGCACACATGCAAACATAATAAAAAATCATTGTAAGTAATTTGTAACAAATTAACGGAATACTGGTAATGGGACAACAACAACCAAGGCCCACCGTACAACCAGGAACAAACCCATGCAAAATACGCCGATCACATACACACACACACACACACACACACACACACACACACACACACACACACACACACACACACACACACACAAGAAGCAGGTAGGTAGGAAGAAAATAATTTATGGCAATAGATGCACACACATAGATGCACACACATAGATGCACACACGTAGATGCACACACATAGAAAAACACACATAGATGCACACACACACACATAGACGCACACACATAGATGAACACACATACAGGCGCGTAGCAGCGCCATTGGAGGGGGTCTCTCGCGGGAATTTTTTTGAAATTAGGGTGAAAATCCTGCATTCTGGGCAGTTTTGGCATCGTGTTACAAAAAAAGTGGTCCGGCTTTGGGACCAGCTGCTACGCCCCTGACATAGAAAGTAGTATGATCATGACCGCTGGCACACACGCATGCAGACTGCTTACTTTGTGTCCAGGTAGAGGTCTTCAGTGAATACCTCCTTCTCCTGCTCGACTGAGTCAACACTTGCGACACGTGATGCACGTGATGCACCAATGGCATCATTGATCTGCTTCGTTGTCATGCCATTCTGGCCCAACCACCTGGAGACAATGAGGAAGGCAACGGTGAAGGTGGACAAGAAAGAAAGGGAGATAAAAAGAGTTGAGGCTGTGGAGCGGGCGATGTGTTTTAGTACATGCAGTGGAAGTTGCTGGCTGCTCTTCACACCTGCACACACGCACACACGCACACGCACACACACACACACACACACACACACACACACACACACACACACAAACACTCTCTCCCCTCTCTCTCTCTCTCTCTCTCTCTCTCTCTCTCTCTCTCTCTCATGTTATGGCCCAAATTAGCAAATACTTGTATAATAGATCAAAACCTAGTCAGGATGCTCCCGGAAATAGCTGGATACACACGTGTGTGCAGTTTGTTCGACCGCACTACATGTACGTGACAAGACACTGACAATGATGACAGCAGCTCATTCTTTTTCTGCTTGAACAGTTATGCACACTTGTCACCTGTACGAGCATAGCACATGCGAGTGGAGACAAGAGGAATGAATATAACACCACTGTGTTCTGTTCCTCTAGTAGCTGCCTCACGTGGAAAACTGCGTCTTCTCTCGTTGCAGACGCATGATCTCCGGCTTGATCTTGTTCAAGTCCCGCTCCAAGTGACGGCTTTTCTCCGAGGAGCTTTGGAGGCGATTGCTTAGATCTGATCTTGTTTGTTTGGCACGCTCCAGGCGAACTTTGATCAAGCCACAGTTCTGCTGCAGTCTGGGGGAACATGACAAGATTGACAAGAAATAGAGATCGTGGCCACCGGTCTCAACTGGCACAACGCATGACCAGCCAGTGCTCAAATCTCTGGCTAATATTAATGTACGAGATAGGGGTAGCAACACTGGCGATGATTTCATGGGAAAGGTGATTGCGCCCCACGCCGGAGCCCACGCTTTTCCGCCGACTTGACTTGGCACTTGTTTGCGAAGTTGAAGCTTCAATGTACTTCTCGTGTGCTCTGGATGGCAGTCGTGAGTTAGTCAAGTGTCAAGCCAAGTCGGCGGAAAAGCGTGAGCTCCGGTGTGGGGAGCAAACACGTTTCGTTATATAACCAATGTAAGCAGAAGGCCCAGTGCAAATGCCAATTTACTTCATAGTACTTGCGTAGTAATGTTATACCAGCCACTGAGTCTTTTCTCTTGCAGAATTTCAGTATGGTATACGTATGTTCCCTATACTGTAAAATGGCTAATTATTTTAGCGACTTTAGCGAAAGGAGTGTTTTCACCAAAGTTTCGCCAATCGAAAATTTGCATGTACAGTACAGTACAACTAATCCTTCTTTTTAGAGTCTGACACTCGGATCGCTAAAATATTTCATCGTGAATTGGTCCAGATTCAGAAAACGCTAACAAAATTTACCCGCTGAAATTAGCTGTTCTACAATAGCTGTATATCCAATCAAATTATCCATGTACACATCGAGTATGATATTCATGCACAATCGGTCATGTAAACAATGCTCCAAGCTTCTAGCATGCATCTCCAGCACACTGGGCAACAGTAGCACCATGCCAAGTCAAGGCACGCATCTCAACAAGCCATCTACCATTGAGAAATTCATTGACCCCCCACCCCCATACATACTGTCCTAGATCGTTGATCTCCCGGTGTACAGTTAGTGCTGTGTGCGTACATGCATGCATGCGCGCGTGTGTGTATGTGTGTGTGTTTGGTGTGTTATTCCCCATCACATCTCTGCAATGCGCTCTGTACTGTTTAATCTTACTTCATTTGATCCGAGCCGGTTAGCTTGGTCTCAATACTCTCGCTGAGCTCCGCCTGGTCTTGCAGCATGTTCACGACGGTATTCATCCCAGACATCTTACTACGGAAGGTCGCCATACGCTGGCAGATATCAGTGTAGTCCTTGTACATCGAGTGGTAACGGTTGTTCAGCTGCTCAAAGTCCTGATTAGCATCGGCCAGTTTCTTCAGCAAGTTGTCAATGTCTGTCTGGCTGCCATTGCTCTGTTAGCCATCGGAAACGCACAAGTATATTGTAGCAGCAGAAAATAGTATTCATCGTAACTAAACCTTATAAAATGAACAGACTAATTGAGCGAGGATGATAAACCAACCAGATGGCTTAGACACATGTGCAAGTTCAGCAAATGCTGCTTATTACTGTTGTGCTATAAAGGTTGGGTGGAGCGCCACAGAGATGCATCTGGGGAGGACTCCCCCAAGAGACTCCAGCCAAGAGGAACATGACTGTGTTTGAATATAAAGTGCATGTGTGCTGCACTACCGCTATGCTTCAGTGTAGAAGTGTAGAAGTGTGGAAGTGTGGAAGTGTGGAAGTGTAGAAGTGTGGAAGTGTGGAAGTGTAGAAGTGTAGAAGTGTGGAAGTGTAGAAGTGTGGAAGTGTGGAAGTGTAGAAGTGTGGAAGTGTGGAAGTGTAGAAGTGTGGAAGTGTAGAAGTGTAGAAGTGCGTATTAAGGTTAGTACATGTGGTATGACTGCCTTCTCGTTGTGCAGGCTTAGTTGTTCTGGATAACACACCTTTGAATAGAATCTGGACAGGGCAAACTGCAGCTTGACATCCAAGCGAGGGTTGTACGTGGCCAGTGAATGCTCTTGGTAGTACTCCACAAGCTCCGGCACCGAGCGGAATGTGAGTGGCTCAGAGAAACCGTAGAAGCCATCACGGGTCATTATGCGGATCAACTTGTTCACGCCGCCCTTCCTGTCATCAGCAAATTCAGCAGTCAGTGCGTCATTGAGAAAGTCACATCAACACAGGTAGACAGTAGCATGACACATCAACACAGGTAGACAGTAGCATGAGCTAGATGAGTACATACTAGTACCACACCACCTTTCAAGATCTGCATGACATCATGACGAGTAGCAGTCATGTTATTTTAGCGGCAAGGAATCTTGTCTCCGCCTCTTCTTGCACTCAGATGAGTTGTGCTCAGCATGACATAGGGTTGGATTGGGAATGACTTTTGCTTTGGGTTTCCATAATTTGGGATCAAATGAGGCCTATCATCCTGCAGTTGTCAGGTGTTAGAAACTAGCCAACTCCCATTGGTCCTTGATTACCAGCTGTACACTTTACAGCTGGAGAAAATGCATTTCAACATTAATTCGGTGAGCACAGGATTTCAACCCAGTTATCTCATTGCAGATCATCATCGCCAGGAAGGCACTAACCGTAGTGTTAACGTGTACTCTCCGGGTTTCTGTGAGGCATCGCGCACCAGAAACGTGCCATCGGGAGTGTCCCACAGCTTGTCAGTTACCACTTCCCTGTGTAGCAGAGTAGCACAGCGGACACATTCGATTTTACATGATGTCCACAACCGGGCTCGCTCTAACACAGCTTTTCACATGCCAGAGAGTCTTATGCAAACATATGGTTAGTTGCATACACACTCGTCCCTTTCTTTGCAGAGAAGTCTCAACAATTCACCAGCTTTCCCTCAATGTCTTATAGCTCGCACCATTAGAAATCTTACCTGGACACTTTGCCCCAGTAGTACTCCGCATCTTCCAGGCGCACTGATGATGCCCGGAATTCCTGCTCCGGCTCACCGTCTGTGCAACAAAAAGCAAGCAACAACTGTGGTTGCGGGTGACAGTCGGTTTCTTGTGCAACTGCGTTTCTCTGTAAGTAGCAGCATTCAAGCACTTGGTTAAATGGGAAATGTACACTCTCGTACTGGCTGGGTTTAAAGTGGTATTATGTGACATACTCGTACGGATACGGTGACACTTTCGCAAACATCTGGAGCTGCAAGCCACACATGTACATGCACACAAGCATACACACACACACACACACACACACACACACACACACACACACACACACACACACACACACACACACCATTGCCCCGCTCACCGTCATCTGTGCGATTGATGAGCAGTTCGACAACTTGAATGTGCCGTTCGCTGTTCGTCGCCAGCTTCCTGTGCACCCGTTTGGCAAGAACACGTTATAACAACCATTAAAATAATATCACAAGGCACCCACCCTTCTTGAATTTTTCCCAGCTTACCATGCCAATAAAAACCCGAGTTGGCAATATCCAAGCCTAGATATGGCCCATATCATTGTGAAGTTAACAAAAAAATTATATGCATCTATGGCTACAGAAGAAGCACCTCCTAGGCTAGCACCAAAAGAGTATTCCACTATTAAAATATGTGTCCATACTTGAACACAACTGATTTAGTAAATGCCCCATGCATGTAGTGTCCTTCTGCGAGCACTTTACAACACTACTTCAATGCTAGGACGGTGCTAATATCAATCTATTCCACTCCTAGTCTATTTCTACTACTTGTAATTGCGATTCATCAGCAATAATTGCACACAGAGACCTTTCCTGGGGTCTTAGCCATTGGGTAACCTCTATTCATTCATTTTAAAGAAAGAGATGCATTGTGGGAAAGATCGAAATGCATTTTCAATAACATTACTTCCACTTCAACCATTTTCGAGGCTGCAAATGCGGCTTCAAGTCTAATCCTATTAACTGGTGACAGACAAAGAGATAATAGGGAGGTTCCGGAGTACGATTTTTCGTGCCAAAATCCGTACAGGCGCTACGGATTTTTTATACGTTGTTTTCGAGCAGTGAAATGTTCCGGAGTACGGAACTTATGTGTTTGCCGTCATTGCCTAGGTTACGATCGCAATCACGTCACATTCCCGCGCTATGCCTTTTTATTTTGAAAATTTGTACCGAAATCAAAACTTCCCGCGGAAAATCGATGTTTCTCGTGCCAAATGTGTATGCGAAAAATCTTTCTGCACCCGATGACGCAAAATCTCCATACGAAACATGGTTCGTATGAAAGCCAGTCCACACGGATTCTCCGTGTCGAAAAATCGGCGTATGGAGCATGCCTGGAAAAAATCCGTAGCGCCCATACGGATTTTGGCACGGAAAATCGTACCCCGGAACCTCTCTAATGAATTTCCAGCTACCCGTGCACTATTATTCTGGAAGCTTCTAGCACACATTTAGCACACGTACTCCAAATGAAGCTGTGATTGTATTCAGTATACCCTGCGGTAGTGCACGCCCCAGTGATCAACATACTCCACTGTGACCCAGTCCAGTGATCAACATACTCCACTGTGACTCCAGTGTGGCTAGTGCCCTGGGATCTGATCACAATCATGCTACAACATGCAACTCATCAATTTACATGAATATGCCAGGCTCACACACCAACCTGACTGCTAAGTGAAGCACCAGTGTATTTACACTTTATATGCACCATGCCAATATGCTTACATGACTTCATTTTCGGGAGGTCGTATCACAGTCGGCCCGAATACCACACCGAGGTTGTGTGCCGTCATCTTGTTCACGTGTTCCTGCTGAACAACTCTACACACATACATACACAAACACACACACACACACACACACACACACACCCATGCATGCACAAACGCATGTGCATACACACACGAACACAAATACAAACAGTTTGTCGATACACCAGTAGCGCACCGTAGACATTGAGTTCATGCAATCATGGCTCAATCATGTCGTATTCTTCTCATGTTCTGAGAGTATTGCAATCAAGCGTTCTGAGCCATTCTTCCCCAACACTGGTACGCTTCAAGATTGATACATGTTTCAGGATGATGGTGAGTATCAAATACTATCAATACCCCATCCAAGATATCACAATGGGGTTTAACATTAATTTTTAGCAAAGCTCCTTCGCGCCAGTCTCTAAGGCAGACGCGCATCACAACAAGTCACACACATAGCACAATAGAAGCGGGAACGCCATTCAAAATCACCGACAATAATTGCACATCACCAACGGCATGCAACACTCACTTCTGCAAGTGCTGTAGGAGAGCGTTGACTGTGGCACGGTTGGCATCCGGCAGCTCATCAACCAGGTTCGATACGTCGCTGGCCGAATCTATATGTGGCAACCAAGCATGCAATCGGGCAGGAACAGGCAATCAGCTATACATCATGTATCCTATATTTGCTGTTGGTACCATCATGCACTATACACTCTCCTCCACAGTAGTTACTGGACAGTACTACGAATACAGTACGTCACCAGGTCATTAGTACAGGTGCCAGCAAACCCACACAAACACCGCAGATTCTACAACAGTACACACGCCATGAGTCAACCACACAAAGCACTTGACGCACAAATTCCGTGAGCAAATGATGCAAAGGAGTAGCTTACCCGCTGCAGCAACGAAGCGATCATATAGCTCGTATGTGAAGAGTGGATTGGGCAACTCCCTGAGGAACAGCTTCAGGCATCCGGCCCAGCAGTTTATGTCCAGCCACCTTGGATCATCAACCCGCACACTGGCAGGGTCTGGGAGGGGGAAAAGAGAAACGGCGAAGCATACGTTCACAAGCACACTTGACATGACCAGTCCCATGGGATCGCAGGTCTACCACATACACAAGCAGTGCAGTGTCATGCTTCTTCATTCCCCAGCACTATCATGGCTGCTGTTGTGCTCTCAAGTTGGCAGCAGCTACAGACGGGTCATTGTGAGCCCTCACCTTTGTTCAGCTCGTTCTTCAAAGACTTCACCTCTTGCATGGTTCCTGCAATGCGATAGATACCTTCCTGTTGCAGCCCTGCACGGCAACACACACAGACACGGACAAGAGCATAGCTCTCTTGAGAACACGTGCACTCTACTGTCACACTTGCTGAAACCTGTCCTCATGGTGAGCTATCAGCGATCACTAGGCAGCTGCAGAACAGTGGAAAGTGGGCAGTGGACAGTGGACAGTGGGACGCTGACTGTCCCATGCCATGGGCAGATTACATTGGGCATGATAGCACCGTACCATGCCCTTGGCGATGCTACATTGGTAGCTTAGAATATTATTATCAATATCTATTGTGCATCCAAGCGTAAATGCTGGAAAATAAAAATAAATAATCATCCAATGCCATGGCTGACCTCGCTTCTCGACAGCTTCGATGCACTTCAACATCACCACGGGTGCACTCTTCTCAGCAGGGTTGAACAGTTCGGATAGCTCCGTATCAAACGATGGCAATACTCCGGATGGCATCACTACAAGCAGGATACAGGTGAAAAAACCCATGCACACACACACACACACACACACACACACAGCACAGTAATGGCTATTATACTCCGGTTCGACAGCCAACATGCATGAAAAGTAGGGCCATTATGGAATTCTCAGAGTTTCAGCATGACATTTTGAGTAGCAGTACCGTAAAATCTCTCCCATCCGCACCTCCCTGACTTCTTGCCAAGGACGTGATTGCATCCTCGTATGACTCTGTCACAGTCTGTGATGCCGTACTGTACTGCAGACGCATGCTCAACCCCGTTGGAAATGTACGCAACAGTGCCCACCCTCTTGACCAGGGATTGCACAAACCCTGAGAGTTTTGATGGGTCTGTACGACTCCTGCCTCTCGACCTTTGGTCGGTGTACGAGATGCACGAACAGTTTTCGTAGGGTGAGTACTTTTTCATGTAGCACTGAATGCGGCAAGTAGGACTCGCCCATCCGCCCCTCCCCACCTGAAGCGTCGAGGAGGTAGGGGCGCTCTGGCGGGATTTTACGGTACTTGCATGATGTCTACATGCCTTCTTTATTTAGGTATCACTTCCCATAGAAGGACAGCTTGCTTCAACTGGCCATTTTAATGAAATGTCTGACTATCTAAAATGTATGCTTTCTACTCATAGCAAGTCTCGCCCTGATCTGCGGATCACAGTCAGGTCACACACTTACCTGAGGTGGATGTGTCGCGTCGGTGCATCAGTCCAGGTGTGCAGTTCGGCAACTCTCCCGTAACACACATTCGATGGCAGTTCAACTGGCATCCTAAACATCGATCAGTCAGCAAGGGAAGGCAATCGAGCTAAAGTGACTCGTTCTCTCAAGTACTTAGGGCGGTTGACGAGGCAGTGTATTTACTGTCACATGTCACTCATACTATTAGAGCAACCTGCCATCAAGGTTGGGTACTGAAAACTTACTTGAATGGTTCTCCTGTGCAAAAGGGTCTGCACGTGCAGCCACAATGTTTCAGAAGAAATTTGCTCTGCGAGGTACAGTTAGGGTGAATCTGTTTACTTGAAGGTGCCTTTTACGGAACCTCATTCCCATCTTACATCTACTAGAAAATTCATTAACGAAACGCATCGCAGAGGAACCTTGACTGCAGGGCACAGACCTCAGTGTGCTTGGTAAAGCGTAACAACAAAGATCCAGTGAAAAATGGGCAAAGAAAACGTTTCATTTTTCACTGGATCTTTTCATATGCAAGCTACTTAATTTCTGAAGTTTGGGACTTTTCAGTATTTCATGTACGATCGTACATAACACCAAGCCCAGTACAATCTACCAAGTTACAACGAAATACTACAGGCATCAGACCATACTGAGCAGGTCATGCCGAACAGTACAGGCATGCTCACTGCAATAAGTACCGAGGCGTGCGACGGGGGGCTGCCCTTACGTTTGCACTTCATTCCCTGCTTGACAAGACCCCACATGAACTTTCCGCACTTGTCACACCAGCACGGTGACATGTAGGTGTGATTACGGAAGCAGTGGCCATTGACAGCCGGATTGATGCCTTCATCACCTGCACATGCAGAAAGAAGAGCCAACAACAGATATCACATCACCAATCTATGGCTCAGCTGCTGTGCATTCTCTGCTTCCTTTGGGTAGTTATCGAAAAACGGAAGAAAAAGTTTGGCAACAGGCAACAGAAGATATCACATCACCAATCTATGGCTCAGCTGCTGTGCATTCTCTGCTTCCTTTGGGTAGTTATCGAAAAACGGAAGAAAAAGTTTGGCAAATTAAGGGTGAGCTATGTATAATTATGGTGCAGTGCTACGTCATTTTCCAGCACCTCTGTTTTCCCTATCGACGTATACAGTGTCCTATGGGCCATTCACATACCAAAACCTTTACACCTGGGACATCAATTCAGCTGTGCCTTAAAATAACTCCTTCCCGGCTAGCTACTTTTCTTGTGTTTGATTTCGCATATGGTTCATAGCGTTTGCTGACAATGGAGTCACCGTAGCCACAGCGTAGGTGACAGGCTGGACCAGCAGTGGAAGGCAACAGCACTATCAGAAGCACCCCCAGCAGCAACACCACGAGCATCAGTACCAGCACCCTCAGCAGCAGCAGCAACAGCAGCAGGCACATAAGATACACGAGAATATGAGTATAGAATGCACAGTACATCTACCTCTGTTGGAGATCATGGACATAGAGTGACCTAGAAGCACGGTCTTGCTTCCGTCAGTGCGTTCAGGTGCCTTAGATGTACGAATTGATGGCTGACGCTGGTGGGCAGAAAGTGACAAGAGCATTCAGCCGCATCAGTCCCTTACAAACCTTACTCCTCATATTTTATGATGAAGGCTGCAATGTCATCGAGTTCGAAGTGAAGACATGGGTATGTGTGTTTGTGCTTCCGTGTGAAAGGAACATGCATGCGTGTATATGTGTGTGTAAGCGAGCATAGCACCGTCACACAAGCTATAGCTTAGTAAATACTCAATAGTCTCCAGAAGGAAAGGCATCATTCACGGTATGGCAAAAGAAAGATGCTCGTCAAGTGCAATCTGCATACTACAGTGCAGAATGCTGTGCTGTGTGCATACTACAGTGCAGAATGCTGTGCAGAATGCTGTGCTGTGAGCATACTACAGTGCAGAATGCTGTCCAGAATGCTGTGCTGTGAGCATACTACAGTGCAGAATGCTGTCCAGAATGCTGTGCTGTGAGCATACTACAGTCCAGAATGCTGTGCTGTGAGAGACACATCCTGATTATGTAGTGAATTGTATCTACCTTTGTGGAGCTGCCTCGGCACAGCTCGTTGATGGTCTCCATGACCATTTGCCGATGGCCGTCATGGTCCACACCCAGACGCTGCAATACCAGGGTGCATAGCAACACAACAAGTAACAACACGCACAGCAACACAGTCATAACCACGCCGTCACTAGCAAGTAGCAAACTCCCCCCGATGCGACTCAAGCTGGCATGATCGGGAACTGCTCGGGGCTACTTTCCTCATCTTCTTATTCAAAGACAGTGCAGTAATCAAGGGGTAGGTGCAATGTGCCTTCAGTGCCAAACCAAGATGTTACCCGAAGGAAACAATTTCACTCGGCATCAAAACCTTTTTTTAAGCGCATGCCAACCAACTGTGCAAAAGAACCAATGTAGAATATGTGCACTAGTACAAGCTTACCACATCTATCACCTGTACTAGCCACTCTCACTGGAAGAAAATGTGATCATACTATTGCATCAAACTATTGCAACTGTGAGCACATGTACACTGTGCAAGTGAAGGGCGACGGTACCTTGAGGTCTCCTTCCTGCAGCGAGTTGAGCCGGCGCCCATCCACCTTTTCCGTGTCAAAGTTGGCGGCGTAGAAGTCCAAGCCGACCGCTGTCATCCACATTTGAACGTCCTTACTCGTCCAATCGATCACAGACTGTGCGCCACACATGCAGCAAGAATGAATGACAATACACAATCATCGGTTAAACAGGGTGTACAAGTGGAAACTGATCTTCTAAAATTGATCTAGCCCCTGCAGATGAATGCACCTCGCCAGCCCGCTGGAGTGAGCAAGTGAGGTTTCGGGTACTCAAGATGAAAACAGAATGTAAAGCCACGATCAGTGTCGCGACCGCTAGAACAACACCAGCAGCACATGGCGCTGCAGCAACCTTTCTAATGTACATCAGCTTCACCGTGCATGCACATGCACTTGTGAGTACGCGTGTGAGTCTAGCAATTCATGTAAACCGTCCCTGGTCCAGCATTGGATAAGCATCACTGTAACTGGGTTACATACACCATCAGATGAGATGCAATGTGTCCACAACATTCCCCTCACTTACCACTTTCTCACCGGCGTTCAACAGCTCATCAATCGTCTAAGAAAAATAACAATGGAAAGCAGTGCAGAGAAAACGCAGTCAGTCGGAGTGGCAGTTTAAAAAATGGACAAACCCACGAACCCATGAAAGCGTACAATTTTCCAATATCACACTAATACCTTTCGTATTGATGGTGTTGGGGCAGTGCAGTCGGCCAGGAAGGCATAGTCCTGACACGCAAGATGGCAGACGAATCCACATCCTAACGGCAAACAGCACATAATACATGTACAAGTAACTAACTTAGCTGATGTATTCAGTGTTGAAAACTAATCGGGACAAGCACTAGTTGCACACTCTTGGTAATACTAGCAGGGCCACATACGTTTGACAAAAGCAAGAGGCTAGGCTCATGTTATCACCAAGCAGGCAGCCAGTCCTCCGAAAGACAACTGGCAATGTATTCCAACACATGTACACGCCATGGACTTACGTGTACAGAGCGCTGCAGTCTTGCCATGTCCCCAGATGAAATTTTGGCCTGAGCACACAACAGCAGCAAGATCACCATTAGCCAACATACATAAGTACAAACTGTATGGCTTGTAGCACTGATCAACCCGCCTGGCCATACTGAGCCTAACGATTTTACATCAACTTTAAATACAGTATGCTGTAGATAAAATTCGATTAAATTAGATGTAGATTAAATTAACTCTTGTGTAATCAATGGTGCTAGTGAAGCTTATATCGGGTCAACTCTGATTTAGCCACCCACACTAGTACCAAGACTAGTGTTACCTTCATTAGGGATGGGGTAAATGCAATTGGATCGGGGACGGATCCTTTGATGCCGTCATTCCCCTTTCTGCACATTGTCCTCGCCCACTTTATACTGAGGCGTGATGAACCCATAAGTGGGATCATTTCCAAGCCCACCTAGAGTTTGGGGACTTCAGACGGTTCAATAGCTAATTGAGTCATCTTTCCAAGATTCCGTTTGAATCTTCAGGGAGGGGGGGGGGGGGTCTTTTCAAAACCACACACATTCAGGCATGTGGGTTCATATTGAAAACACCACAAAGGCAATGGTGGTGAGATCCGACCAGCTCATCCCACCATGCGTCTTGGAGACGACTCATTGCTCTTCGGGCCGGTGCGCCAGGCTATGCTGCCTACATCACACATGTAGGGTAAAGTAAAGTTGAGCCCCCCCTCGACCGCCTCTCATAGTCACATCACATCACACTGATAATACGTGTACGTCACACTCCTCACAGGGCAGCACACATACATGTACATGTAGCACTGTTCACACAGAAAGCACAGTGCAGTGGTGGGGGCTTGCTGGGGGCTTGCTGGGGGCTGCCCCCCCCCCCCCCCCCCCCACACTTGGCACTGTGCACTGGACCATGGAAAGTGTATGAAGTAGCCTAAAAAACATGCAAGGCACCCATGAAACCAGTTACTGGGTACATGATTGTATACACCACCTGCTGTATCATGGGAACTAACGACGTAACGTACTACTGTAACTGTACTGAGTCACTTACAAGAGCATACTACATGATGATGACATTGATGTACTAGTAAGTAGGGACATTTTCGGCATTCCTCAAACATAGTCAGAAATGATACATGCATGTTTTCAGACGTCATTTACCACCGGATCTGCATGATGAAGTACGTGTAACAATATTACATGACAATGATGTACACGCACGATCAAAGTAACTTTTACTACATGTAGTTTTAGTTCCAATACATGGAAGCTATTGTTCCAATACATGGAAGCTATTGGCAGTATAGTATTGCATTTCAATAACTTGCAGTGGATGTCCATGGCCACATGGAGCTTTGCTTCTTCAAGAATTCAACACAAGTACTGTAGGCTCAGTGGCACAAATCTTAGATAGAAATTATTGGTGATGAAATCGAACTAATATTCATTTCATCAGCACAACTAACGTGTTACTTCAGATACTTCCCACACACTGACCATAACGTTAGAACACCCGCACCCCGTACGCATTGCAAACACAACTTGAAATGCTATGCTCATAGCCCAGTACATGTATCGAGTACATGTACATGAACCAGCAGCACTGACTCGGAGACGACAATAGTAGATCTACCAAGTAAGGACTACCTGGTGGACACCAACACCCCATGTTAGTTGTGTTGTTTTGTGTTTATGTTGGAAACTCTCATGTTTGACCCTGGCTGGCATCACACAGTGCATGCTGTTTGTAGCTGTCCAGGGAAACAGAATGCAATATTATTATTTCGTTCCTTACCCTATACTTGTGTGTATACCTAGTAGTAGTAGACCATGGTAGACAAGCGTGGTTCACAGGACTAAGCTGAACACCCCACGCCACATAGTCATTACTGGGTCCCTGGTGAAACTACCCCTACAATGTACTGTAGAGATACCGAATTCAAATAAATCAAAACCAATACCAATACCCGGTTTGTCCGGTCAGTCAGTCTATTGAATAGTGTAGGATTGACAAAACCAAACTCTACAATTAGATCTAGAAGTTAGTTCAATACGTGAGTGAATGTACTGTTGCATTTTGGATGTACTTACAATGTTTGCACCAGGTTGGCTTATTCACATGCACGCTAGTCAGCTGATGTGACTCGGCGAGCGGTGCCGGAGGAGGACTGACCGGAGTAACAGGAGTCCGTGGCAATGGCTTCGGCCCTCCGCTACTCGCAACGCCCGCCGGTGGTGTGCCGATGGGTGGGCGACCACCGTCAGTAGGGGTTTGCGACCTGGTCCGCACTAGCGGCTTTCGAGGAACGGAAGGCACGTGTGCGGTAGCACTAGCGCCACCACCAGCACTCGACGATGCACTGCTGTTTGCTGAAGGCGGCCAATTAGATTTTACCTTTCCGACGTCGTGTCTGCTTTCCGCTGGGGTCGGAATGGGGGCGGGAGACTTCGGCGCTGGTTGTGGCTTCGGAGACGGCGTTGGAGGTAGCGGCTTCAAGTCCGGTTTGGGCGGCAGCACGGGTGGAGCATCAACCGGAGCTGCCGCCACCTCTTTGACAAACTTTGTGTAGTTTCCTGGGAAATTGCCCTGCGCGCCGGTGCTTAGGCTCTGGCCTTTCAACCACTTAGTACCATCTGGCCACGCGCCTCTCTCGTTCTTGTACACCTTGATCTCGTCGCCCACGCTTATATCGATCTCAGCCGATGTGCGAGCATTGAAGGCAAACGTGGCGCAATAGATGCGATATGCATCGCCATTCTCCATATTTTCTGACCGGCCTTGTTTTCCTCAGTGACGGAGAAACGACGCTGTGCAGGGCGGGCCGCACTGAGTAGGGGACAGCTCCTAGTACAGTGTACTTACAAGACAGAGTCCTGGGCTTGGGCTTGGCGCCCCAAACCACTTGTATTTTGAAGCGCAGGTGCTGCACCGGCCTGTGAGGCAACCCTTCCTCGTTGTCAACTAAACACAAGCGCCGCCATTCTTCCCTAGATTCCGAAAACCGAAGAACAACGACTTACGTAGCGAGTGTACTGCTTTTACTGCATCATGTTGACATGTAGGCTCCCGGTGTGCGCATACGCCTGATACCTGGAATGGATACGGCGCAGCGCAGCCTCTTACATGAATCTTGTCTAGTCGCTTACGCTTACGGCTTTAGATTTTAGCTCGGCGATCACTGATCAGGCCAGGTGCTTCTTTTTCTCAGGTGGGTTGTCAGTTGTCACCATCGACCATGGTCGACGTCATAATAATAACTAATAATTTTATTATTAGAATTGCGATCAACAGAACGAGCTGAACCGACATTTTCACAAAGGCTTTTATTGTATTCAAAAAACGAGTGTATACGAAGGCAGTGAAGAACATGGAAGAAAGAAAAAATGTGATGTGGAAGAAATGATGAACAAAAATTGTACTTCGAACTAGTTTTCGCACAACACTCCTCAGGAAGCTACGTTGTACTAATGAAAAACAATCCAGAAAGATACTAATAAAGAGAAATGGAGTGAGAAGAAACAACACCTATGAAAATGATAATCCTAGCACTAAGGTAATAACAGGAAAAACTGCGAAAGCACTTCACGAACTTGTAAGGACTACTAGTATACTGTGACACAAGATATGACACCATGGCCAACCAGAGCCAAACCGACAGAACAAGTTGCTACTAAAACAATTTCAAACGAATAATGCTGTCCTTCTGGACACACAGATTAGGCTTATGAATACGTTGACAAACGGCTTCTAACACACTCAACTGCAACTTATAACCATGACGAGCACGGCACAAAACAGAAAAAGAAGAATCAGAATAAACCTTACAACAATCAGGACGAGATGCAAGATGCTTATACACTGATGACTTCCTACTAGAAAACACACGCTCGCACCCACTCTTACTCACACAATCATTCTCGCTCTCACACTCACCGGAATCACTGGACTCACTGGCCGAATCCTCCTCAACGACTTCCTGCCTCGGAGCAATCAGGTCCCGTCTCCTCCCATCCCGAACGTGAGACGAGGGATGGGAGGAGACCGGACCTGATTGCTCCGAGGCAGGAAGTCGTTGAGGAGGATTCGGCCAGTGAGTCCAGTGATTCCGGTGAGTGTGAGAGCGAGAATGATTGTGTGAGTAAGAGTGGGTGCGAGCGTGTGTTTTCTAGTAGGAAGTCATCAGTGTATAAGCATCTTGCATCTCGTCCTGATTGTTGTAAGGTTTATTCTGATTCTTCTTTTTCTGTTTTGTGCCGTGCTCGTCATGGTTATAAGTTGCAGTTGAGTGTGTTAGAAGCCGTTTGTCAACGTATTCATAAGCCTAATCTGTGTGTCCAGAAGGACAGCATTATTCGTTTGAAATTGTTTTAGTAGCAACTTGTTCTGTCGGTTTGGCTCTGGTTGGCCATGGTGTCATATCTTGTGTCACAGTATACTAGTAGTCCTTACAAGTTCGTGAAGTGCTTTCGCAGTTTTTCCTGTTATTACCTTAGTGCTAGGATTATCATTTTCATAGGTGTTGTTTCTTCTCACTCCATTTCTCTTTATTAGTATCTTTCTGGATTGTTTTTCATTAGTACAACGTAGCTTCCTGAGGAGTGTTGTGCGAAAACTAGTTCGAAGTACAATTTTTGTTCATCATTTCTTCCACATCACATTTTTTCTTTCTTCCATGTTCTTCACTGCCTTCGTATACACTCGTTTTTTGAATACAATAAAAGCCTTTGTGAAAATGTCGGTTCAGCTCGTTCTGTTGATCGCAATTCTAAAACTATTGTCGCCTCGACGCCTATTTACATAATTTTATTATTATTATTATTTATTTTTTTTTATATGGTGCAAGCCTCTTTTACGGGCAAAAATTAACACAATGTATTAAAATGCAATACAACATACACTGGAGAAGAAATCAGGAAAATAAAATATGAGCTCAAAAATGGAACGAAAAATAGCAAATAGAATCAAAACTCACGATGGAATCAAACTCACGATGGAATCAAACTCATGATGGAAACTACAACCCAATGAGTTGGAAAACCAACCACAGAATTAGATATTGGGAATAGAGTCAGACACAACAACGACCGAAATCAGTACACCAAAAATCTGTCCTACAAAAAACAAAGGAACAAGGAAAACAAGAAAGACGAAGTACAAAGAATCCCCAAAAAAGAGGGGAGAACGGGATGAAAGAGGACCGGAGAGCGGCAAACCCCAGGAGGACTTAGCGTCACGTAGTGGCGGGAATGCGGGCCTCCACAGAAACAGCATCCACATCCGCCGCCAGACCAGGTGCACGGAATGCACGGCGACTCCCACGAACCATCAGGACGGAGTCGCGGACAAGGCTGAAAGCCAGGTCCGTCCGCAGCTTTCCCATCACGAGGGGATAAGGCTGCGAGAGCTTGGTGGAGAGCTTCGTTCCGAGCAGCTTCAGGAACCGGGTGGCCTCCTTCGCCAGGGCACCAGCAGAAGACAGGACGATCGGGGTGAACGACGCGTGCTCAACTTCCCGGATCCGGGCACCGTATGCCGACTGCTTCTGACGCTCGTGCCATTGGAACACCTCAGCCAGCGGGCGAGATCGGTACGACTGTGCGTTGGGATAGAACACCCTTACATCAAAAAATGCATCAGTCTGTACCGACCAAAACCCCCTGGCCCTGATGTCCGGTCTGGCGTCGTCCGCAGTGAGCAGGGCAGGACCATGGTCAAACGTGCGGACCGTCGGTAGAGGTTGCAGCGGTGGCTCCAGCTGCACATCCTCAGACACTTGAGAAAGAAGTTGGCCCAGGTAGTTGCGGACATGGTTGTGCCGGTGGATGGGATAGCCGCTATAATTATTATAACAGTACATGGCTGTAGATCTACGTATATCATCAAGAGTACATGAAAACCAGAGTGTGCAGCTCGGATGGGTTGCTGTCACGGCGAAATTCCGTGATTACATCATTTTAGTGATGTAGTGCGTACAAGCAGGATTCAAGCAGGTCTCTTTCTGCACAACTGCAGCTCAGTTGTACGCACTACGCCATTTCCCGCCTAGATCTGGGCCAAATATGATGTAATCACGGAATTTCGCCGTGACAGACACCCATAGCAGAAAAGGCCCCAAGCTGCACACTCTGGTTTTCATGTACTCTTGATATCATGTATATCTACGACTATGACTATGACATAGTCGTAGTCATAGATATACCATGTATGTCATTGACATAATCATTGTATCGAAAAGAAGGTAGACTCAGCGTCCGGCCGGCGCGGTAGGCGTAGACAGAATCTGACTGTAGTCATATAAGCTACATGTACATAAACCATGATAACCATGATAACACACCGTGACACGCCTTTACTGGCTTTAGCTCCAAGCATCGCTTGGTGCTAATCCGTTCCTGCCCGTCGTCACTTGACTACGGGCAGTGCCAGTGGATCCAGTTCCATCACCTTTGAGTTTGAGCAGGCAGGACCGCGCTTTCCAGCCCGCGCTGTTTGATCTGTCATTGGTCAACTCCAAGGCGACAATCACGTGACATACGGGAACTAATAGTAATACTAATGGGGCTGTTAAGTGTGACGTCACGGCTCCTTCGATACGCATAGCAACGGAGAGCACTGGGGACGCGAAGGACTAAAGGGACCGTCACTTAATTTTTGCCGACTACCCGCCAAAAAAAATCTTTTCGTTTCACGTGTCAGACACGTCCGCGAGCGCGTACGACTCGCGCGCGCCTGCGCTATCTTTCACGTCATGACGTCAGGCGATCTGTTCACGCCACATGGCTGGATAACGCGTACATGCAAACATGATTGAAGACTTGCAAAATCAATTTTTTTACAAGTCCAGGCGCTAGGCCTAGGCAGTATAGTATTAATGCCTAATGCCCAGGCAGCTGACTTTATTTTCGGAGAAACACTACTCATTGTAGTAAAAAGTAACAATGAATAGCGATATCATCTAGGAAGGATCGCTACCCTAACGCGAAGGAAAGGCCTTGCGCGGCTGCTCTACGAAGTGTTGAAGAAAGACTCATCAAAGTTAGTTGGTGGACGAACAACTCGCTGGCGCCGGAAAACTTGGCCCCCAACGATGGTGTTTGGTGAATCATCAAGCATAATGTCTTGTAGCAGTGTTCACCGAGGAAGGAGAACGCTCTAGCCGCTGCTGTTGTCCGTTTCATCCACGTTGGGCGTTAGCTGCACCGCGCCTATTGCGTTTTAGTATTCCATGGACACACATTAGCATTCAGAGCGATTGTGGAGCCACAATTTACTTCACACAGCGTTGTATTGTCCACGAGCGCAAACTTCATTATCAGCAGTAACTGTTACTCTCCATCCTACATGTAGACTTGGAGTATACACGGCCTTGTCACGACAGCGACAGCTCTACAGAGTGTTCAAGTGAGAAACATTAATTTCTATTGTTGGTGGACGAATAAATGGCTGGTTCCGAAAAAACGCGGCCTGCACCGATGGTATTTGGTGGATCATCAAACAGGGTGACCAGCAGTGTTCACCGAGGAAGGAGAATGCACTCGCCACCACTCCGATTCATCCAAGTGGGCGTTAGCTGCGCCGCGCCTATTGTGTTTTAGTATTCCATGGACGCACACTAGCGTTCTCAGCGATTGTGGAGCCACAACATATCTTCATGCGGCGTTGCACTGTCCAAGAGCAGAAACGTCAGCAGTGACCCATCATCATACATGTAGATTTGGAGTATACACACCATGCGCCAATGGGCCTTGGCACAACAGCGGCAGCTCTACGGAGTGTTCAAGTGAGAAACATTTGTTTCGACTTTGGTGGACGAACAAATCGTCGGTGCCGAAAAACGTGGCCTGCGCCGATGGTGTTTGAACCATCGAGGGCTCCGGAAGCAGCAGCTGAGCCAGATCAGCCAGTCTTGCCAACTCTCAGTTGCCGGACTCCGTGCTGCAGCTAGCAGCACTGGCACCAGCCGGAAATATTTTTCCGCCGATACCCGTTACTTCCAGTTCTGTCAAGGGCATAA